TCACAAGCTAACCTTCTACAAGAATAACTATGTAAGACAAACACAAACACACTGACTGCAACAACCCAGAACATCAGGAAAATGAAAACAAATTATCCATGAACACCAACTAGCAGTCACAAGACATGATTAAAACTTATTAATTGCACAATAATGGACAAGTTTAACCCATACCATAGTTTCAATTGAGAATCCTGGACCAAACCTAGTCTAGAAAAACTAAAACCTAAAAGCCTGGCACTCAGACAAATCAGCCATCAATAGGTACATAGATATTCATCTACACACCATTCAAAAGAGACAATCAACAAGCTAATAAGGAAACCAAAACATCTCCTCCCCAGCAATACCCAGATAATCAGAGACTAACAGCAGGATTAACTCTAGTGCAACAATTAAGCAGTGAATAATAGCCCAATCAGAAAACTTCCAAATCAGACAAACAATCAAATAGTAAGCAACAGCCTAATCAAAGAACCATCAAGAATATCTTACTAGCCATTTGTATATAAATAGAGAGCGAACTCCACTCTCTGTAGCACTGATGTTACCTAGTTGGATAATGAAATGTCTGCAAAAAAAACAAAACACCAAGCTCAGAAAGCATCAAGTACCCCACACATATGAAAATAGAATTGTCTTTTTAAAATAAATTTACGTATACTATTTAAGATGTTTTGGGAATATGCTATATGCATTTTGTGAAGTTTTTCTTGGTTTTGCTCTTGAATTTTCCTTTGTAAAACAAAGTTATAAGCAACTCCATATCTTATGCAATGAATCTTTCAGATTTGTCCCTTTTTCACATTTGTCCTTTATTTTTTCCCAAAAAAATATGGTTAAAATAGTTACAGTTTTAATAAATGAAGATAATACTTAACCACGCACCTTTTCTTATTTAGAATGATTTCTTTCTATTTGGTATGTAGAGCTAGGATTTGATAATTTTTTGGTATGTTTTTTATATTACATAGAAACAAAATTCCTTCCTGCTATAAGCACAGGGGAAACATAGAATAGAGGCATCAGGATTAGATAGAAGGAAATTTTAGGGAAAAGTTTCTCAAAATTGGCAGTATTACAATTTTCTAAAACTATCAGAGAAGTGATCTAACATTCCCCACCCCCTGAATAAACTAATGATTTTATTGGCCTTAGGTCTGAGCTTATTTTAATATTTAAATTATATTCTATAAATCACCAGGGTTTTGCAAACCTTGTAGTACATTGGTTGCCTACTGTGCTTTTGTACAAGTCAACTCTGGAGCAAAACAAAGAATATTTTGAGGGCTCCTGCTTTGTCTGAACAAATCTGATTTATTTTCTTTTAAAAAAAAACTGAGAATATTGCTACTTTGCTCCCCCTAAAATATTTACAAATATATTAGTTGCATGGGGATTCACAACCACCGTATGAAAAATCCTATCCTAGGAAGCTATCTTAGGAAGCATAGTTCATGCACTTCTCAATTGTTGTTGCAAAGTCGTGTCCGGCCCATCGCGACTCCTTGGACAACGTTCCCCCAGGCTTTCCTGTCCTCTACCATCTTCTGGAGTCCATTTAAGGACTCCAGAAGGTGGTAGATTCTCCATACAGATGCCCAAAATGGGCCCCTTCACAGAGTATTCATACAAATACCCACATTCCAAGAAAGCACATAGGGAGAGGGAAGGTATAAAACAAACTCTGTAGTTTTTTGCAAGAATCTGGGTAACAATTGGTTTTGGCAAAAATCTTTTAAATTTTTTTACTTATACTGTTGCTTTACTTATAAGTAAAAAAAACCTCTAGCATCTCTGATCTACACATTTATATAACTTTTAATTTTTAATGGGATATTTTTTTAATCAGTAAATTTGTTTCTGGGATCATTTCTTATTGAAAGACAAATCTGGATAATACTTCTTTCTTCCATCCAAATGTATTTACTTTTTCTTTTATCCACATGTCATATTTGGAATTTGTATTTTGGAAGGATTACTTGTATTATTACCAAACTAGGACCTTCCAGTAATTTGAAGTTTAACTCCCATCTTCTTAGCATAGGGCAGAATAGAGTGTAGGGAATTGTAACTGGAAGCAGCAGATTAAGGAAGGCATTTGGGTAAATTAGGGATTATAGTCATAAAATAAGAGGAACTTGTTAGAAGAAAAATCAGGTCGTTCCAAGCTGGGAGAAAGATGCTGAAATAAAAAGGAGGTAGGTTATAGGAAAGAAGGTCTCCATTTCTTTGGTAGCCATAAACTTTGGTGACAGCAGCATGTTTATGGGATAGCTGACAAAATGGGGTTCAGAGTAGGTAGGCTTTTATACATTCTTTGGGGTTTGTGGATGAGATGCTTGTTCCTGTGCAATAATATGTCCTTCAATATTTTAATGGCTGTTGCCAGATTCCTATGAAGTCATGGTTGGCTCTACAGGCAAAAGGGGAAATGCAAATCCTATGTCCGTGGTGGCGACCCTATGGCACACATGCCTCAGGTGGCAAGCAGAGCCCTCTCTGTGGGCATGCACGCTGTCACCCCAGCTCGGCTCCGCCACGCATGCGCACATGCCTCCCAACGGCCAGCTGATCTTTGGGTCTCTGCCACGCATGCGTGAGAGTGCATGCGTGGGGACGGGGTGCATGTGTGGGGGGTGGGGCACATACGTGGGGTGGTGAGCGCATGTGCGGGTAGTGTGGGGTACGTTCAGTGCACACTTTGGGCACTCAGTGCCGAAAAGGTTCGCCATCACTGTCCTAGGAGTTTTGTTTGTCTGAGCTAATCTTGTCACCTTTGGCTCCTTGCCTATTGTGTTACTTATTTGGAGTTTCTGACTCTCTTTGCTTATGAATAGAGTGGTCCACTAGCCCAGTCTTTCTAAATAGATACAAAATCTCCATCCCTAAAGACTAGCCTCTTCTCAGGTTTCTGCTTGAGGTTCTTTTCTTATAGCAGGAAGACTGGGGCTGCTTTCTGTGTTTAAGATGTTTCTCCTCTTCTCCTTCAGGAGAAATATTCTATTCTGCCTATTTTTAATATTAAGAATAAGAAATATTATGGGGAGGGGAACTTTCCTACAAACCCAATAATTTGCAGGAAAAGAGGAAGTTACAAAACCAGAGTAGGAAGGTGGCATTGTTTTTATAGTATTTGCTTACCTTGGGTTACTGAATATTGATGGCATGTTCCATTTCTGGATATACTATTGATTGAGAAAATAAAGTTTGTGAGTTCATAACATAACTTTACTATGCAATTAAAGTTAATTGTGAGGCTGCATGTTTTATTTTCACCAATTTGCAAGTTGGGTTCCACTCAGGCCCCTTTGTGCTCTCTGCATTGTGTTCTTAGGCCTTGCCAGGGTGCCAGAATTTTACCTCTAGAATTAGCCATAGAATCTACCACTACCATCATCTCAGTGTTTTAAGTGCACATTGTTTTATTTTATTTCATTGTGAGTTAACCATTTAAAATAATTGCTTTCATAATTTGAGAACATCTGCAAAACAATGTACTTAAGGAGTACTTAGCCCTAGGTAAAGGTAAAGGTTCAACTTGCACATACATGCTAGTTGTTTCTGGCTTTAGGGGGCAGTGCTCATCTCCATTACAAAGCTGAAGAGCCAGCGCTGTCCGAAGACGTCTCCGTGGTCATGTGACCGGCATGACTAAATGCCAAAGGCACACGGAACACTATTACCTTCCCACCAAAGTGGTCCCTATTTTCTACTTGCATTTTTACATGCTTTCAAACTGCTACGGTTGGCAGAAGCTGGGACAAGTAACAGGAGCTCACTCCGTTACGCAGTGCTAGGGATTCGAACTGCCGACCTTTCTGATCGACAAGCTCAGCGTCTTAGCCACTGAGCTACCGCGTCCCTGTACTTAGCCCTACATGTATATAAAATTATTTTTTCCAACATCAGAAAGACTTGTTTTCCAATCACAATATTTTTTTCTAACAAATCTTTATTTTCAAGAACGCATGCTAGTGATAATATAAAATCAACAATGATGCACTTTCCAAATTTCCTCAAAGAAATGTATGACGAGCCACATAATCAATAGGCTAACATGACCATAGATTTGAAGGCACTGGATTACAGCCAGTCAGGAAATTATTTAAGCACCGGTCTTTAGCCTTAGGTAGAGTTTGCTACTAATTCTGGCAGACCTGTCCTCCACCATAGGCCTCACACCGTTTTCAGGCATGAGCATTAGCACTGGCCCCCTTAACCCTGCATTTGGTTCACCCCATACTACAAGTCCTGCCTACAGAAAGTGGCCCTTTTGGACCTTGCATGTCACACTGGGCTCCCAGACTAGCAAGCCAGGCTTCTTGCCTAATTAAGTTTGAGATTGTTTCAGCCCCAAAATATCTAGGAAATAAAGAATGCCTGTCCCTGGATCGTTCACAATACAGGAACGTTTAAATGACTAGTTGTGCAAACAGTCCTTGCAAGAGACTTAAAAAGCCAGACAATAGTTGTTTTTTAAGGTTATGCCTGCCAGGTGGAGGACCGGAGAACAAAAACCTGTCAGATAACTCTGACCTGTTAGCCTATTACACAAATATCAAAACAACACAGAGTTCTGTGATACAGAGTTTTAATACATTTACCTTCACTTTGATTTTGTGGATTTTGACGACTATGAGGTGCATGGAGCAAAGTACAGTGAGAAAGTTGATGTAAATACATTTGATTGAGAAGTGTGATAAAAAGCATCGAAAATAAACAGGATTGTTAGCCCGTTTAGAAGATAAATCGCTAGCTAATCCTCACAAATAAACTGCAGAGGATCTTGAATTTTGTCTGTGGATACGCCGGTAAAATTGAGCGTGGAGGAAAATTTACTCCCTCCCTCTTTGTAGATTGACCTGCCTTCGGACGTGCAACAGATATTCAAGCACTTTTCCTTTTTACTTTTTCCGCGGCTCCTGTGGGGGGCGCAAGCGAAGAGACTGGCGCCGTCACCGGCACTGTGGCTCAGTCACGTGGGTAGCAAGCGCTACGTGCGTGTTGAAGTCAGACGCTGTTAGGCGCCGCCGGTTTGGCTATTCGCCCGCCATTTTGGCCCGCTCTGTGTGAAAGCAGCTCGGGCGGTCGCTTCGGCCTCGGTAAGTGGGATCTCGAGGCGGCGTTACCTGGCAAATAGCGGAGGGCGAGGGGGAGAAGGAGTAGGGGGATGGAAATACGGTGCGGGCGGTCCTTAAAAAGGCTTCGGGCAGGGGGAATCTCCCGCTGGAGAGAGTCGGGTGGCCCGCGGCGAGCCCCCGCGTCCTTTTCCTGCGCCTTTTCTCCCTTGCGCCTTTGGGTCTAAGGGATGAGCTGGGGGAAGACCCACGCCTCGAGCTGCCTATTTTACTCCTTACGCAGGACAAAAGGAAATTTGGGGGAAAGGGAGGGGGGGCAGAGAAGACCGCAGGAATCGGAGATCCCCCTCCCTTTTTTTTTCAACATCCGGTTTTTCGTCTTGAAGGTTCCGGCGTCGTTTCCTACCTTAATTTCTCCCAATCCCAATTCTCCCAACAGCCTCGATTACTCCTTTCCTTCCTCTTCCGGCATTTCTCTCCTTTCAGATTTGTTCCTTCTGGGGTACATGAGTAATTTATGTGACAAAGCCTGGCCTAAGATTGCTCAAGGCTGCTGTTCCTGGACTTGTGCAAAATTTGAAAGTGATTTATGGTGAGGCAAAGGATTACATTTTATGGAGTGGAGCTGGTAATACAGAGTTGTTGACGAGAAAAATAGGAGAAAAGAATAAAGAATATTATACATGTTCACTGCCTTGAATTACTTAGAAAGTAATAAAAGATGGGATTAAAATCTAGTAAAACAACCCATTCAGATCAGGCGAATTTGCTCCTGGCAGGAAGGAAAATTGAGTGTTAAAGAGGAATCTGAGAGTAACAGTTCAGTTATCAAATAGTGTATATGATTGTCTGAAAAATAAGACATTCCTTGCTGGTCATCTGGATGTGAATGTCATCATTAGAAGCCTTTTTTTCTGGAAAAGTACAGAGTTATTTTCCATTTGAAATATGCATTCCAATATTGTTCATGTTTCGATTTTCCTGTGGTTTTGCTCAGCCCTTTAGTAGTTTTATGATATGACTCCTTGGTGGTGATATGCTTTTCCTAGAAGAAATTACAGTGCCACAGAATGGATGAATTTGTAAAAGTGGTTATCAGCCCTTTAAGGTAGTCCAGACAATCATCAACCATGTGTTTTAACATCTTTATTATAACTTTACAATCTGAAAGCATTGCTCCTCTCATTTTCTTTTACTTTCCAGAAAACCAGGGAGAAATTTTTCCAAAATGCTTCCCACATCCTTTTTCCTTTTGTGTGCTGAGATACCTTTTGCATAACAATTATCTAATCTGCAGCTCTTCCTCTTATCCTCCAAAGTCATTCTTGCATACATTTGGAAGTTTAAGTCTCACTTTGTGTGATACCAAAAAAAATATAGGAGGCAAAATGTGACTACCTAGACAGTTGTCCCAAAGGTGCTATTTTTTTCTTTCCAAAAAAGCAACTGGATTTCTTGGGATTTTTTTTCTTTGAAAAAGTTTTGCTTCTTATCCAAGAAGCTTTTTCAGACCTGGATGGTTAAGAATCACCATAGACATCCATATGAAAACAGTTGCTGATAAACAAATAAGACTTCTTAAAACTATTGTCCTAATCACAGTAATACCCAGGTAAATTAGTTGAATTTTTCACCCTTATCATTTGACTGGTTTTGTCATTGAGAGCTCTGTTTTATGAAGTATGGCCTAGGCACCATATTTGTTCTGTGGTAGCCTACACTTAATGGAACATTCTCCATCCCTGAAGTATGCATAGCCACTTTTTTATTACTGTTCCATGAATAAGCCAAGACTGTTATTTCAGCAAATTTTTGATTGCTATTCATCTGCCACATATAACTTTCGGTTTTAATATGTATGTTTATTTTGTGTAGTGTAATATGCTGCCTAGAGATCTCCAAGATTATAAACGTTGTAAATAAATCTTAAGGCTTTATTTTTGGAACAATGAAATGTTCAAGGCAATCTCTTTTACCTTGTGATTTTGGGAGAGGGAGAGACGGCACTATTAGAAAAAACGGCACTATTAGAAAACCTGAGGTAGAAGATTCTCAGTATTTTGTTTTTGGCAAGATTATATGTTCTTTTCTCATTTCCTTTACTTAGTGGCTTTGTGTGAATATTTTTGAATATCAGTTGTCTGAATGCAGTATATATAAACAATCTCTGCTGCCTTTTCTTTTTTTAAAATAAATTTTATTAAGTTTTCAAATTTTAAAAAAATAAAATAAAACTTTATACATTGTTATCAACATCAAGACATCTTTTGCATCTCCTTACATTTTTCAGTATATGTATTTACTTATTCCTTTACCATTACATCTCTACTGCCTTTTCTCTGTCATTTGCTGCTAAAACAGTTAATCAAGCCTGTATGTTAGTTGAAGTCATGACTGCAATCTAAACTTCATATTATATTAACAGGTCTTGTATCTGGTTGTTCTTTTGTCCTGAATACTTATATAGTTCCTCTTTATTGTTAAATCTGAATCAGCCAGGTAAGATTGAAAATAATTTTCTGATCTACACTGCTCAAAAAAATAAAGGGAACACTTAAACAACACAATGTAACTCCAAGTCAATCACACTTCTGTGAAATCAAACTGTCCACTTAGGTAGCAACACTGATTGACAATCAATTTCACACGCTGTTGTGCAAATGGAATAGACAACAGTGGAAAGCATAGGCAGTTAGCAAGACATCCCCCAATAAAGGAGTGGTTCTGCAGGTGGTGACCACAGACCACTTCTCAGTTCCTATGCTTTCTGGCTGATGGTTTGGTCACTTTTGAATGCTGGTGGTGCTTTCATTCTAGTGGTAGCATGAGATGGAGTCTACAACCCACGCAAGTGGCTCAGGTAGTGCAGCTCATCCAGGATGGCACATCAATGCGAGCTGTGGCAAGAAGGTTTGCTGTGTCAGCGTAGTGGAGGCGCTACCAGGAGACAGGCCAGTACATCAGGAGACATAGAGGAGGCCATAGGAGGGTAACAACCAAGCATCAGGACTGCTACCTCCGCCTTTGTGCAAGGAAGGACAGGAGGAGCACTGCCAGAGCCCTGCAAAATGACCTCCAGCGGGCCACAAATGTGCATGTGGCTGCTCAAACGGTCAGAAACAGACTCCATGAGGGTGGTATGAGGGCCTGACGTCCACAGGTGGGGGTTGTGCTTACAGCCCAACACTGTGTAGGACGTTTGGCATTTCCCAGAGAACACCAAGATTGGCAAATTCGCCACTGGTGCCCTGTGCTCTTCACAGATGAAAGCAGGTTCACACTGAGCACATGTGACAGATGTGACAGGATCTGGAGACGCCATGGAGAATGTTCTGCTGCCTGCAACATCCTCCAGCATGACCGGTTTGGCAGTGGGTCAGTAATGGTGTGGGGTGGCATTTCTTTAGGGGGCTGCACAACCCTCCATGTGCTCGCCAGATGTAGCCTGACTGCCATTAGGTACCGAGATGAGATCCTCAGACCCCTTGTGAGACCATATGCTGGTGCGGTTGGCCCTGGCTCCTCCTAATGCAAGACAATGCTAGACCTCATGTGGCTGGAGTGTGTAGCAGTTCCTGCAAGATGAAGGCATCGATGCTATGGACTGGCCCGCCCGTTCCCCAGTCCTGAATCCAATTGAGTACATCTGGGACATCATGTCTCGCTCCATCCACCAACGCCACATTGCACCAAGACTGTCCAGGAGTTGAGGGATGCTTTAGTCCACGTGTGGGAGGAGATCCCTCAGGAGACCATCCACCACCTCATCAGGAGCATGCCCAGGCGTTGTAGGGAGGTCATACAGGCACGTGGAGGCCACACACACTACTGAGCCTCATTTTGACTTGTTTTATGGATATTACATCACAGTTGGATCAGCCTGTAGTGTTTTTTTCCACTTTAATTTTGAGTGTAACTCCAAATCCAGGCCTCCATGGGTTGCTAAATTTGATTTCCATTGATAATTTTTGTGTGATTTTGTTGTCAGCACATTCAACTATGTAATGAACAAAGTATTTAATAAGAATATTTCATTCATTCAGATCTAGGATGTCTTATTTTTGTGTTCCCTTTATTTTTTTGAGCAGTGTATATTGAAAGAATCACATTCAGTTTGGATAAAGTTGATCAAAGTGAACTACAATGATGTAAGGAATATTTCAAATGAAAGGCTCATTTATATAACAGTAAATTGGGACTCTTAATAGATGGATTACGCCTGAGTAAAAATGATATGAATAAAGGATTATAATTATATGATTGTTATCTTGATTACAGAGATACATGTTATTATTTTAAGTCAATCTTACAACTCAGTTAATTATAAACCTAGATTACAAAAACTTGTTTCAAGACTGCCAAGTTGGTAGTTGTTTCAAACCTACATGATAAGTAATTCTAAACCTCAAAGAGTTGGAAGTAATCTAGCAACACACATTGATTTTACAATTTAGTGAATAGTTAAGTTGAAATTGTGTTCAACTTCCACATGGAGTGAAATTTTATAGAACTAGTGATAGATTATATTAAAGAAGCTTTCATTTATTCACTCTTTTTTCATAATATTTTATTCCTGTAATGACCTTATCTCTAGGATATAAAAATTCTAGAGCTAAAAACTCTTAACTTGAATAAGTTCTCTGTTGAAAAGTTAAGAACCAAATGTTTCTCTGAACAGTTTCAACATAATATATGCAGGGATTTTTTCCCTCTTATATACTTAACTCCTCTTTATGCCACTTAACCTTGCAGCATTTAGATTATTCCTGATATTGGATTATAATATATCTTTTTTAATATGTTGACTTTCATTTTTCTTATTTTTTTCATGAAAAATTATGGATATTTTTGCTTCCTCCCACCCTGGCAATTAATTTTCTTTTAAAAACAATTCCTGGTAGTTTGTCCCTCTTTAAAAGTGCCATGTTAAATCACATTATGTGAATTAAAGTACATTTATATATATAGACTTCAAATATTTTTGAAGCCATAACACCTACATCTCTCCTTTGTAGATTATTTTATATTAAAGCAATGATGCCTGCCCAAAAAAAGGAGGCTCTTTTCCCAAATTAAGTTAATTTTAATCAAGCTTTGTACTGTATTGGCTAATTCTATGCTTTTTTAAAAATGTGATGTTTCAATTCCTTGAGGAATTGGGTTTTCATATTTTGGCAGCAAAGTAAGAAAGTAGTAGAACTGATGTTTTAATAGTGCAAATGCTTGAGCAGAGGAAAATAACTAGTCTGTTAGTGAATAATGATCACAGAAGATCCATATTATTAGAACCAGAATTTAACATTGATTAGCAGACATCACTCACATATTCAAATATTTATGCAAATATAAAAACTTTTAAACAATGGCATATATTACGTAAGTTTAGAATCCACAGTGTGTACATACTGCAATAATCTGGTTTTCCTGGACTATGCAGTATAAGGAAGACAGAAGCCTCAACATAGAAGTACAGAGAAAACCCACAAGTAACCAGATGACTGCAAAGAGTATAAAATCCTTTCATTCCCCACCATTCAATCAGAACTGAAAAAATGTCTCGGGTGAGAATGTTTTCAAGAAAAAAACCAAGAATGTCCAGTTCCCTTTGGGACAACCTTGACCTGGATGATTGGAAAATATCCATAGGCAGTTGCCATTGCTTGTTCCAGTTTTAATAGTTTTTTTCCTCTCACTTCACTTTTTTTTTTTTTTTTTTTTGAGAACAGTCCAGCATAATCCATCATCAATGATATGGTTGATGACTCAGTCAGGGATTAGGACCTGGCCAACTCCTACTGGAGCATTTTATGCTGCTGCAGTCAATTCTTTCTCCATCACTGGTTACAGCTCTTGATGGCCATTTTGCCTTGAACTGTATAAGAGGCTGGATACCTTGGTTTTTGCAAAGCCACAAGAGATATTGGCCGTGAAGGCAGTGCACAGTATGGTGAAATACTTTCCTGAAGCAAAGTATTTGAATGTATCTGTTCGGTTGTGCCCTCTGTCAGGTACTATTCTATATGTAAAATTCCATGTTTGAAAACTATTCATTTATGTACTGAGAAAGCTGACATTGGTGAAATAATGATATCCATTTAGCTTACAGGTAAGCTACAGAATAGTCTTTGCTTAAGATTATAAATATTGTTTCTCTTTGGAGACAAATTCTTCCAAGAGTCCAATTGCCAATACTGCTGTAATATAAAGAATTTGTTCCTCTTTGAAGCCATCCATGTTCAACAGATAATGACTAATACATTAGACAGGCAGTTCATTTTTATGAACTTTTGATTTCTGTAGAAGTATTTCCAAGGCTTTTATGGTTTCACAGTGAGCAAGATTTAATGTTTAATCACAGTGTATGCATTTGCCTTGATGTATTCTGCTAGTACTGCTATTTGTTTTTCTTAAGACTTTTGCACTTTAAAAGAGATTTTATACTATGAAAATCATTCAGTAATTACAGTTTCTTACATGATTGAGCTGTAATTTCGTATCCTTTTTATAAAAAAAATAGAACAATCAATGCAGATGAACATAAGAACAATATTGTTATATAAAATAATAAAGGGATTTCTTCAACTGCATCTCTAATTAGATAGTTCTGTAATGGAGTATTTGTTGTTAACACACTATTTTCAAGTTCCTGTAAACTTAAGAATATTACACAGTGTATTTTTCCTAAAATTCCATTTGGAGTTTAGCATGCTTGTTCATACGTTACAAAAGCAAAGTAGATTTTATATATGCTATTCTTTGCAGACTGGAAGTGCTAGGGTATGTTCCTTGCATGTGTTTACATATTTATCTTATATCTTACTGTATGAAATGTTCTTCTAAATCTGGCAGCGTTATGCTATGTTCTGATGCTTGTTTACTTGGTGCAAGACCTTACAAATTACCCCACGATGTACTTTAAAGCAAATCTAGTCTTTCTACGTTAAATTTGACTTCTGAATTAAATTTTTTAAAAGCTATTCACTAATGAAGAATGGAAACTCTCGAGTGCAGAAAGTTTAAAAGATTTGCTAGGGTTTAGATTAATTAAACTATCTAGATTAATCTAGATAGATTGACATAATATGTGAGTGAAAACCTATTTTCTGTTTTCTATAGTTGAATCAGACAATAACGTATCTGATCTCAAATACTTTATGGCAATGGAAACATTTTGAATTTATAGTCTAGCACACTGGTCAGCAAACATTTTTTGTAAATGACTATATCCATCTCCCACATTAGTTGGCTTCTGAAAGGCCACTACCCTTACCCTGGACCAACCCATCCTCTGCTCCACTTCTAACCCCAGAAGCTTGGTGGAGGCTCAGGCCTGGTGATCTGCTACCCTCTTTTCCAACCAGTTCTCAGCTGCAGATCATGTAAAAGCAGATGATGGGCCAGATTTAGTTTTGGGCAATAACTTGCTGGCCCCTGGCCTCAGAGATTGATACTTGGTCTAAGAAAATAGTATATCTATAGAGAGTTTGATTATCTGAACTTTGATGTATAAATCTTAATGTTAACTACTCCAAATGCATGAATATAGATTGATCCAAGCACAAAGTTACTTGGAAGCATATTAGTAGCATTCATTTTAGATTGTCCCATCACTTTGATACATGATACAATATTTTGATATTTGTCTTACTGTTACTAAAAAATCAGACTTTTAACAGGATTTCTGCAGCACACTTAACAATTTCATTATTTGTTATGCTATTTCATATATTGGAAAGAGCTACCACAGAGTTTTTTAAGGAGCAGGTGCACTACATTCTGAATATCCCAATTCTCATGATAACTACATTGTTGCATGGATGAGTCTGTGTTTTTTAGGTTGTTTTGACTAGTCAGTTTATTGTTTCTTTTCAGGGGGTGAGCAAGGAGATTCCAGACTCAATGAACTGAAATGTCTGAGAAGTCAAGCCAGAGCACAAAAGCAAAGGACGGGAAAACGAAGTATGCAACACTTAGTTTATTCAATACATATAAAGGAAAAACTCTGGAAACACAGAAAACTACAGGTATGTTTGTTAAAACTGAACATTTCCTACCCATTTACTGGGTCTTGGTTGGTTGTAATTTTGTTTTGTGCAGAAATATCAGCACTTAAAGCATTTTAATTTCAGGTTTTCAATTTTGCAACCTAGTTAATTTACATGCCTGACAGTTTTATAGTTAATATTCAGATATTTTTAAATAATGATACTAAAAGAACTATCTCTAAAAAGCCTTGTGGCAAAATTGTACATAAATACCAGTGTGCTTTGTCTTTTGATAATCTGGCATTGAGTCCACGGATTTCATCTGTCATCTCTTAAATATTTGTGTTTGATTCGTATACATTTTATTTTATTACCGTATATACTCGAGTATAAGTCGACCCGAATGTAAGCCGAGGCACCTAATTTTACTACAAAAAACTGGGAAAACTTATTGACTCGAGTATAAGCCTAGGGTGGGAAATGCAGCAGCTACTGGTAAATTTCAAAAATAAAAATAGATACC